CACGTGTCAGCGATGCAGCCGCAGCTAGGCGCACCAAGTTAAAAGTGATTTTAAAATAATAACATATTATAAGATTATTGAAAGCAGACTGCAGAATTGTGCAGAATTATATACTTTTTGCAAATGGTTTTCCAGAATTTTAATTAATTTTCATTTAATTTTTTCAATTTAATTATTACCGGCTTACAACTCTGTCGCACGTAGCTTACTTTCGAAGTGAGCCATGCAGATGAATACAGAAAATGTGTTCCTTATAATTGTGTACTTTATCTCTACAATAATAAGGGTAAACAACTGCGAAAAAATAAAGTCCTACATAGATTTTTTTTCACTGTTGGCCAGCTTTTTTTTCGTACCACTGTGCGGCGAAACAGTCAGCTCCAGTGACAACGGCGGAATAGCGCCAGAGTTGCAGACAGTGAAATCGCAACACATCTCCAGTTTTAATGCCACTGATCTTTTTATCTTGACAAGTAAATACAAAAAAGCGTTTCGCGTTCGAGTCGGTTCAATTCTCGATTGTTCGCTTCGTCGCTGAGAGTTTTCTTGTAATTGTTGATTTAAATGCGTCGTAATGTCTAACGATTCACCCAATATAGTTTTACTACATCTCACCCAGGAGAGAGGTGCACGTTCACCATTTTACTTTCTCCAATGCCTTGAAGGAATTCTTAGACTGTTTTACAGATGCCAAGTGAAGGCATGCTCTGGAGAAGCCATCGTCTATGGAACGCCGAGATTGAGCGCTAAAGAAGAAGCGTCTAGAGTGGCTTTGGATATTTTGATCCCACCATCTACATCTATTCAAGAGGAAACCTCAATACCTCCTCTCGACCACGAGGAAGAATTAATGAATTTTGTTAAAAAGCATCACTTATTGTATGGGCCTACGTACTACGATACCCAATTCTCTGAATCGTCGGTAGTTTTTCAAACTACCTGCAAAGTTGAAAATTATACTACGGAAGGTTATGGTGCCGACTCGAGGGAATCCAGAAAAGATGCCGCTCATAACATGTTATACGTATAAGAAGTATCAGTTCTCCCACTTTGTTTTGGAAATTCCTAAAATTTGCTGTTTGTGATTTAAATTATTGTTCCGTTTATTTGGTTAAGTAAAAAATTAATCAAACAACCCCTCGAGTTGAAAAGAATTTACAGAGAATTATTATTTTTGTTTAACCAAACCGGTTTCATGACCGATCCTTTTGCCACAAGGGTTTATTTGTTTCTTCCGCAAGTAGCAAAGTATCCAAATTAATAGAGAAAAAAACTAATATTTTGCTACAAAGTTCAGATCATGTCTTCATCTATTTCTGTTCTCGATAAATGTGTAGACAATGTTTGTAATTTGCTTATTTCTTTAGCTTGAGCCTTATTGTCAGCGTTCCTGCAAAACGTCCAATAGAGAGCAAACATGGAATGAATAGTAGTCCCAACCCCATCTGGCGCTTCCAAAAAATATCTGTGCAGTACAGGCTAGACCGTAAATACTTAATAAGTTTCTGCTATATTTTGTCTGAATCATTTTTCCTCAAATATTTTCCCATTTTTTAAATTTAAAATTCGTTTTAATTGCTTTTAAAATGTCAAAAAATGACGGTATCATTTTTTTAACGTCCAACTTACAATTAGTGACACAACTATCAGTATATGTATTTTGTAAAGCAGTATATTTTTAGACGATATACTCCAATCGAATTAGAGTTTGAACGTAAAAAAATATTAGTAGATATTTTATTGCACTTTATGACGGGGAAGGGCATGTAGAATAATATCAAAAAAGTAACCGGAAAGAAGTGACGCTAAGTTGGCAAATTTCAAATAAATTTTAAAATTACGTATTTTTTCACTTTTTTCACTGCCCATGAAAATCTAGACAATCTGTCGGAAAATTAGTTATTTTATGTTGTAGCCAATTAAATTACCTACAATGTAAGGTAGGTACCTAAAGTTATATTTCACCAATTTGTTGACTGTCAAATCAAGGTCAAACGCGGAAAAATCAGTTTTCGAAAATTGTGCATTATTATTGCAAAAAGCGATAGATGTTGAGGAAATTTATGGAAAAGACGGTCAAACCAAGGACCAACATGTGTGCCAAAGGCCGATTCGGTTGACCGTGAAATTGCTGCTCCAGGTAGTTCCCAGCTGAGAGCCTTATCGGCGACGTATGCCACCGACCGACAGCAGTGGTGTCGGTGTTGACGGGGTGTGTGCCATTGGCGATCAGGACGGGGGCCATGTATGAATGCGAGACTGAACGGAGGGCAGGAATTGAAAGAGTTGCTCCAAATATTTGTTAATTTCTTTCCTTTTTTAATTGTTTAATTACTAAACGTTAATTTTAGCAGTCAATATCGTTGATATAGGTTGTACCTACTTGATCCAAAGAAACGTATCCAAAAAGAAAAAATTCAAAAAGTTGAAATTATGTATCACTTTACAACTAACAAAGTGGACGTGCATAACAGCGTTATATAAACAAATTCTCTTAGGGTCAGGCAAAAATTGCTCGGGATTTCGCTCTTTTTGCATTAAATACAGCTTATTTTACGGTAATGTAAAAAAAGAGAAATCACCTACGCCTCTTTGTTCCCAACACAGCATTTATATATAACGTTAATTGTTAATTAACTATTGGGCGTATCGGACAGGGATTTTAGCGACAACTAAGGAAAGGGTTAAACTTTTATTTTCAAAAAGTGAAAAAATGTTAGCTTTCAAATGGCAATAATTCCTTTCCGATTAAATTTCAACGATAAGAAAAAGATATACATTTTTCGACCCGAAAAAAGAAGTCAAAGATTTTTCGCATATTTCCAATTATTTTGCAATACGCACATAATTTGCACAGGAAAGTACAACTGTTAGAAAAAATATTAAGCTGAATATGGATGACGTAAGTACATTACTGTATGATTTATTTAAACTTGAAAAAAATTTCTTTTTTTCGAAGAACTCAATTTTTGCAAAAACTATCAAATATTTTGTAATTTTACAAAAATGCCAATATGTATGAAATAAGTGTTCTGGAGGACTCCCTGGCACTATTTATGGGAACAGCCCTTTCGGATGGTTTGATATGAACCTTTTTGAGGACTGGTTCTTTAAATGCCTCTTACTCCATATAACAGCAACCAGAGAACCAGAAACAAGAGCAGTTGTAGTTGACGATAACCTCGCTGGCCATTCTTCACCACAGGTTATTAAAGCAGCCCTAGAAAGGTAAAGAAAAGTAGACGGAAAACGTTTTAAAAGGTAACTTTAATTTTATGAAAATTTTAATTTATTAAGAATTCATAATAAAAAATGTATTTTATATCAGGTAGAAAAATGCAACGATTATTTATAATTTATTTATAAATTATAAAATAACCTATGCGTTTTATACATAATAAATTATGACTGTCATCACCAAGGTTACATTGTGTTTCTATAGTGCCAAATCAACAATTTTCGCAATGAACATGAACATAATAAATATACATGATTACATGATATAAAATCAGAACTGCAATATGATTCGATGAAACTGTCACCTAGGGTCCTTAAGTAGGTTTGATAGGATGCAAATACTTCCGAACCATAACATTCGTCCTCTGCATTGAATTCAATGTTGCAAACAGTCGTTACATTCTGCTGTGATCGTGTTGGTAAAAATTTAAATCTTGGCGACACTACACAGCGATTTAAAACAAAATACATTAAATTCACGCACCCTGAGTACTTCAATTGCAATTATTAAGTACCTTCAGCACTTAATTCATCTTCGATAGAGTTACTTCTTTAGTATTATGCCTATTTATATATCAATATCCCCGAATATTAATAATTCCCACTCTAATTAAATTACCAACTATAACCTCTAAAGAGAGAGGCGTGGTGGAGTTGCAATTTGAATAAATGAAAGGTATTGGGTTATTAATTCAGCTGTAATTATAACGAAAGTTTATCTTTCTATAAAAGTTATGCGGGGCTAGACTGTAAAAATAAAACCAAAAAAAACACATGATCACTTGGTCTAATCAATTTTGTTTTTATTGCTGTTTTTTATTTAATAAGAAATGCAATCTTTTCCTCTATTTCTCCCTAAATTTCTTCTTTATGGAGCTAGACTTTTTAATCGGAGGTGTTCTTATTATCAGCTTGTCTAAAATCGCTAGTGTAGGATTGTAGGTTTCGTAGTTGTCATCGTCCCATGATTCTTCCGTTAGGATGTTCGGTTGATTAGTCTTACTGGATTCATCGCTGTTCTTTACGAACCCATTATTAACGTTACCTTCATCCCAGGATTCGTCGTTTTTTTCTACACCATAGGTCACACTAAACCCTCATTCCTCGTCCCAGGAGTTATCGTCTAGGATGTTCTTCTCTGTTGAGGACGACGTTAGATTATTGGCACTAAACTTAATTTCTTCGTCCCGGGAATTATCATCTAGGATGTTCTTCTCCATCGAGGACGATGTTAGATTATTGGCACTAAACTTAATTTCTTCGTCCCAGGAATTATTGTGCAGGATGTTCTTCTCTATCGAGGACGACGTTGGATAATCAACAACCCACGATTTTTTTGTTAAAATGTTCTTATAGGTATTCATTTTCACTGTTTTGTGATTGGAATAAATGTATCCTGCATCCCCTGTACGTATATAAATAATGTTAATTGTAAAAAAAGCAATTTCAATATGCAATACAGAAAGTGAAATTAAACTCGTTGCATTTAAATAAATGAAGGGCATTACCTTCAAAGCTTTAGCAATTAACCTCGTTTAATTTTTATAAAAGTATATTAATATTTGCATTAAAAGCGAGCGACAACACAGGTGACTATGTAACCTAGTTTCATTTTTATAAAAGTATGTTTATGACAAAGCAGTCAGAGCAGTACAGTGAGCGGGATTGAATAACTAGTTTTGTGAAGGTTTTTCTGTGCCTTTTACTCAACTTTTGCAAATAAAAGCAAGCGTCGACAACACAGGTGACAATGTATCTTGATCTCAGCAAAACGACAGAAGTTTCACCTAAATCGCTTTGGTAACTTTACAAATCTTTTTTGTTCTCTAGTTACTAAAATTTTAATTTTTATTTTTTGTTAGAGATGGATCTCGCAACTATTAATGAACAGTCCCTTTTAGCTTTCAAACAAACCAAGTCCCTCAAAGAATTAGGGACTGAACGAAAATATCTTGTATGCAAAATTAAGAAAGTGCCCACTAAGTATGGAGATGGGTTGGTAGCGGAGCTAGAGGACTGCCAGGTGTTTCTACCCAAGAGACTGCTGGTGCAATTGGAGGATCATCTGGACGATTTTAAGGATAAACGATACAGCCTCATCAGTTTCGGTGAGAAAACCATTGAAACAGGGAAGAAAACCATTTTGTTAGAATTCGTAAATATTATTTAACATATATAACTGAAGATAATAATATGGATACTTTAAGCGATAGTATAGTCAAAAACATTCGAGAAATTTTTGTAATCCTCAATCTAAAAGCGTATGCAATGATGATTTACTAAAATATATAAGTTATTGTACTAACAATAACTTCCTCTTAAACATCGATTGTAATATTTCACTAAAATCTAAACTTCAAACAAATATAGGACATCTGGCAAAATATAGGCAGTTGTTAAGATCTCTTGATAATATTTATTTGGGCGGTGGTTTGTCTGAAAATAAAAAATTAAAATCGTCTACAAAACGAAGCCAACGAATTCGGTGAGAAGATGGAAAATCTGCTTTTTCAAGTCGAATTCGAAGCGGTTTAATTATTAATATCCATCATACTGATCTGGTTGAATTTTTAAGCGATTCATTTTTTTTTTGTTCAAGCCTAGTGTATATACATTAAAACTAAACGGAAAAAATTATTCCGTAGTTCCCGCATATATTTCCCGAAAGAAATTATTGAGACACGTCAATTTACTCATGATTCAAAACAAATATTTCTCGGACAACTATTTGAATAATTCGATGAAAAATCAAAAAATCTTTGAAATCAAATATCATTTTGCTTGGATTAAAAATTTATCGAGGTTAATTTCGAAACAGCTTACGATACATCATGGTACAATATTTATTTGCGATAGGTGTCTAAATTACTTCAGCAATAAAAAAAAATAGATAAACACGAGACAGAATGTGCGAGAATCAATACGTGCAAAATTTCGTTTCCAGATGAAAGGTATTTATTTTTCAAAACTTTAGGAATAAAGAACCTGCTCCTTTTATCGTCTACTGCGATTTTGAAGCTTTATTGAAGTCGGTCTCCTTTAATGATAATGAGAGTAAAACGGAGAAGTATCACAAACATGAGGCTTTTGCTGTAGATTATTATTTCAGTTGTAATTATGATAAAAGTTTATCCTCTTATAAAAGTTATGTAGGGTTAGACTGTGTGGAGTGGTTTGTGAGGGAACTTGAAAATATTGGGACATTGTCAACGAAAAATTAAAATTTGTAGTTCCAATGGAAAACTTTTCTGTTGAAGCTCAGAATGAATTAAAAAACACAAACTATTGCCACATATGTACAAAACCGTTTACTAAGAAGATAAACCCGTTATGGACCATTCACATCTCAGCGGGGCGTTTAGGGGTTGGAATCATTCCATCTGCAACTTGAATTATAAAAATACCTTCATTGTTCCCGTAGTTTTTATAATTTAACGGGGTATGACACTTATTTACTGATTAAAGATGTAGTTCAACTATGTCCGGGTCGTATAACGCTGTTAGCGAAGAATAAAGAACAATACATTTCGTTCATCAAACACTTTCTCCAAATTCTTCACCAAATTCTTCGGTTAAATTTAGGTTTATATTCATTTAGATTTTTAGCGTCATCATTAGATAAATTAGCATCTATATTACAGAGAGGATTTAAAAATATTAAAAACTGAATTTTCCCATTTGAACGCTGATTCCTTTAACATGCTTATTCGAAAGGGAATATATCCATACATAAATTCAATGGATGTTTTAAAAGAAACGTCGCTTCCTCGTTCAGTCGATTTTTATAACAAGTTAAATGATGAAGATATTTCAGAGGATGATTATATTCATGCACAAAACGTTTGGAGAGTTTTTAAAATTGGTAATCTTCACGAATATACTCAATTGTATTTAAAGACGGACGTTTTGCTATTGGCTGATATTTTCGAAAATTTTAGGGAACGGTGTCTCAATACGTACGGTTTAGACCCAGCACATTACTATACGCTTCCGNGTAAAGAAAAGTAGACGGAAAACGTTTTAAAAGGTAACTTTAATTTTATGAAAATTTTAATTTATTAAGAATTCATAATAAAAAATGTATTTTATATCAGGTAGAAAAATGCAACGATTATTTATAATTTATTTATAAATTATAAAATAACCTATGCGTTTTATACATAATAAATTATGACTATCATCACCAAGGTTACATTGTGTTTCTATAGTGCCAAATCAACAATTTTCGCAATGAACATGAACATAATAAATATACATGATTACATGATATAAAATCAGAACTGCAATATGATTCGATGAAACTGTCACCTAGGGACCTTAAGTAGGTTTGATAGGATGCAAATACTTCCGAACCATAACATTCGTCCTCTGCATTGAATTCAATGTTGCAAACAGTCGTTACATTCTGCTGTGATCGTGTTGGTAAAAATTTAAATCTTGGCGACACTACACAGCGATTTAAAACAAAATACATTAAATTCACGCACCCTGAGTACTTCAATTGCAATTATTAAGTACCTTCAGCACTTAATTCATCTTCGATAGAGTTACTTCTTTAGTATTATGCCTATTTATATATCAATATCCCCGAATATTAATAATTCCCACTCTAATTAAATTACCAACTATAACCTCTAAAGAGAGAGGCGTGGTGGAGTTGCAATTTGAATAAATGAAAGGTATTGGGTTATTAATTCAGCTGTAATTATAACGAAAGTTTATCTTTCTATAAAAGTTATGCGGGGCTAGACTGTAAAAATAAAACCAAAAAAAACACATGATCACTTGGTCTAATCAATTTTGTTTTTATTGCTGTTTTTTATTTAATAAGAAATGCAATCTTTTCCTCTATTCCTCCCTAAATTTCTTCTTTATGGAGCTAGACTTTTTAATCGGAGGTGTTCTTATTATCAGCTTGTCTAAAATCGCTAGTGTAGGATTGTAGGTTTCGTAGTTGTCATCGTCCCATGATTCTTCCGTTAGGATGTTCGGTTGATTAGTCTTACTGGATTCATCGCTGTTCTTTACTGTCCCATTATTAACGTTACCTTCATCCCAGGATTCGTTGTTCTTTTCTACACCATAGGTCACACTAAACCCTCATTCCTCGTCTCAGGAGTTATCGTCTAGGATGTTCTTCTCTGTTGAGGGCGACGTTAGATTATTGGCACTAAACTTAATTTCTTCGTCCCGGGAATTATCATCTAGGATGTTCTTCTCCATCGAGGACGATGTTAGATTATTGGCACTAAACTTAATTTCTTCGTCCCAGGAATTATCGTCCAGGATGTTCTTCTCTATCGAGGACGACGTTGGAAAATCAACAGCCCACGATTCTTTTGTTAAAATGTTATATAGGTATTCATTTTCACTGTTTTGTAATTGGAATAAATGTATCCTGCATCCCCTGTACGTATATAGGTAATGTTAACTGTAAAAAAAGCAATTTCAATATGCAATACAGAAAGTGAAATTAAACTCGTTGCATGTAAATAAACGAAGGGCATTACCTACAAAGCTTTAGCAATTAACCTCGTTTAATTTTTATAAAAGTATATTATTTGCATTAAAAGCGAGCGACAACACAGGTGACTATGTAACCTCGTTTCATTTTTATAAAAGTATGTTTATGACAAAGCAGTCAGAGCAGTACAGTGAGCGGGATCGAATAACTAGTTTTGTGAAGGTTTTTCAGTGCCTTTTACTCAACTTTTGCATATAAAAGCAAGCGTCGACAACACAGGTGACAATGTCTCTTGATTTCAGCAAAACGACAGAAAATTCACCTAAATCGCTTTGGTAAGTTTACAAATCTTTTTTATTAAGTCTAGTTACTAAAATTTTTATTTTTATTTTTTGTTAGAGATGGATCTCGCAACTATTAATGAACAGTCCCTTTTAGCTTTCAAACCAACCAAGTCCCTCAAAGAATTAGGGACTGAACGAAAATATCCTGTATGCAAAATTAAGAAAGTGCCCACTAAGTATGGAGATGGGTTGGTAGCGGAGCTAGAGGACTGCCAGGTGTTTCTACCCAAGAGACTGCTGGTGCAATTGGAGGATCATCTGGACGATTTTAAGGATAAACGATACGGCCTCATCAGTCTCGGTGAGAAAACCATTGAAACAGAGAAGAAAACCATTTTGTTAGAATTCGTAAATAATATTTAACATATACAAGGTGTCCGGTAAGTACCTCCTAATCTCTCGGGAGTATAAAGGGGAGGTCAAAATAAAACTAGTCCTTCCTATAATTTTTTTTCCTAATGTGCCCCCTAACGGAGTTATGGGGGGTCAAAAGGGTACCTAGAAATTAACGTTTAGGGTTATAACTTTGAAACCNTGGAAGTCGATTTAAGTTATCCAAACAACCTTCATGATTTGCATAGAGACTTACCTCTATGTCCCGAGCATAGAATTCCACCAAATTCAAAATTACCGAAATTAATGACCACTTTACACGATAAAGAACATTACACAATGCACTACAGAAACTTGAAAAAGGGTCTCGATTGTGGGTTACGAATAAAACAAATTTAAAACGCATTTTTCGTAAAAGTAACAAGTATGTCAAAGTAGCCCTAACCGCCGGGGTAACTTTACCATATCCATTTTTATTTTTTATTTTTTTAACTATTGTTTTTAGAGTACACACTCACAATTTGTACAGAGCAGCAAAATGTCTGATAGTGATCAGTTGCTTTCTCCTTCAAGTAGCACTCAAACATCTTCAAGACTTTCCGAGGACTCACCAAGGAAAATTAAATACAAAACCAAAATTAGAACTCTTGGGCAAGAAAATTCTGAATTAAAAAAGAAAGTTCAGCAATTAGAATCAAACCTGAACAACTTGAACTGGATTATTTTAGATCAGTATAAATTACTTAGGTACAAAAATATGTTGTCATTCATCACAACTGATTTCATAAATATTCTAAGTTGCCCAAATAAACAAAAATCCAAGAAGTCGTAGATATACCAATGAATTTAAAATATATTGTTTAGAAATGTATTTTACTGGACCCAAGTTGTATAAAAAGATGTTAATGAAATCATTTTGTCTGAATTCTCCTAATACTTTACTACAACTTGTGAAGGATATCCATCAAAATCCTGGATTAAACCAAAATCGCTGTTGGCATATTTTAAAACTGAAAATTAACAATTTTAAAGCAGAAAATAAGTATTGCACTTTATGCGTCGATGAAATAACATTCACTATTGATACAGACTACAGAGTGAATGTCACCATTTATTTAGCTATAACACTACTCGTGTACAACAATTAACAGCTTCTTGAAATCTTGATATAAATTCAACTTTGTTATTAAACGTAATTAGTTTGTTTCTACCTGTATACTGTTGTATTGTAGATACATCATGTAAATCTTTGTTACACCCTACAACTAGTTATAGAACATTGATTTAATAAACTATATTCTGTAATGTTTACTACTATCTGTTTACGAATTTGGAGAAATTTTGTTGAAGCGAAATATAATTCTGTTCGAATCATACGGATATCTGTTGTATAAATTAACTGTACTACCTTTTATTATTATTATTTCTTTTTATTATTGTTTATATGTGAACGAATCTGATGCACTTTTGATTAGGTATTTGGCTGTCAAGTATTGAGTTATTTGTTTATTACTGTCATAAGGCGAGCAAGGAATTCCATCGTACCTAAGACGCTAAAATAGATCAAATGACAGTTTGGACCTAGGTTAAGGTCAATGATCAAACCTGTTCAGTGGTGATAAAATAGCAGTTGCCCAGTCCGAAGTTTATTGTGTTTGAACGACCAATCATAGCGGTTGAGTTTTTATGAGATTTATTTTAATAAAATCCATGTCGGAGCGACTCCCTCTCTGATTTTGCAACTGGTAGTCACAAGCTCATGTGATTATAAATCTAAATTGAAATCTTACCTCAATTTAATAACCANATGAAGATAATAGTATGGATGATTTAAGCGATAGTATAGTCAAAAACATTCGGGAAATTTTTGTAATCCTCACTCAATCTAAAAACGTATGCAATGATGATTTACTAAAATATATAAGTTACTGTACAAAAAACATCAAATTATTGAATAGTGCCCTTTTAAACGTCGATAGTAATATTTCACTAAAATCTAAACTTCAAACAAATATCGGACATCTGAGAAAATATAGGCAGTTGTTAAGATCTCTTGATAATATTTATTTGGGCGGTGGTTTGTCTGAAAATAAAAAATTAAAATCGTCTCCAAAACGAAGCCAACGAATTCGGTGAGAAGATGGAAACTCTGCTTTTTCAAGTCGAATTCGAAGCGGTTTAATTATTAATATCCATCATACTGATCCGGTTGAATTTTTAAGCGATTCATTTTTTTTTGTTCAAACTTAGTGATAAATGCGTTGAAAAAAGACCCAACGATTAAAGTCAATACGGTGTTATGCTGTGAATTTATTAAACAACATATTGATGAGGAAAAACAAATTAGACAATTTAAATATTTTAATACAAAAAATAATTTAATAGATTTAGGAACTGATTTAGCTCAGTGGTATCGAGATAATGTTAGTGATAAAATAATGAATAAGCTTATGGAATTCCAAGGAGGTCAGAGTGGACTTGCACTCAACCGAATTGAAAGTTTAAAAATCAATATTAATAAGTATGAATTTTCTAATGGAGGTACGTCATATATTGAACTGCCTCAAGAAATTAAATTAAAAAAAGCTGTGATAAATATAAAAAATACTGATCAGTTTTGTTTTGCCTATGCCGTCGTAAGTTGTTTGTATCCCGCAGAAAAAATGTATATCATATTAGATCATATCCCAACTTTCATAATGTTTTATATTTTACTGGAATCAATTTTCCGGTAACTGTAGAACAAATACCAAAATTTGAAAAATTATATGGTATTTCCATTAATGTATATACATTAAAACTAAACGGAAAAAATTATTCCGTAGTTCCCGCATATATTTCCCGAAAGAAATTATTGAGACACGTCAATTTACTCATGATTCAAAATAAATATTTCTCGGACAACTATTTGAATAATTCGATGAAAAATCAAAAAATCTTTGAAATCAAATATCATTTTGCTTGGATTAAAAATTTATAGAGGTTAATTTCGAAATAGCTTACGATTCATCATGGTACAATATTTATTTGCGATAGGTGTCTAAATTACTTCAGCAATAAGAAAAACATAGATAAACACGAGACAGAATGTGCGGGAATCAATACGTGCAAAATTTCGTTTCCAGATGAAAGGTATTTATTTTTCAAAAATTTTAGGAATAAAGAACCTGCTCCTTTTATCGTTTACTGCGATTTTGAAGCTTTATTGAAGTCGGTCTCCTTTAATGATAATGAGAGTAAAACGGAGAAGTATCACAAACATGAGGCTTTTGCTGTAGGTTATTATTTCAGTTGTAATTATGATAAAAGTTTATCCTCTTATAAAAGTTATGTAGGGCTAGACTGTGTGGAGTGGTTTGTGAGGGAACTTGAAAATATTGGGGCATTTGTCAACGAAAAATTAAAATTTGTAGTTCCAATGGAAAACTGTTCTGTTGAAGCTCAGAATGAATTAAAAAACACAAACTATTGCCACATATGTACAAAACCGTTTACTAAGAAGATAAACCCGTTATGGACCATTCACATCTCAGCGGGGCGTTTAGGGGTTGGAATCATTCCATCTGCAACTTGAATTATAAAAATACCTTCATTGTTCCCGTAGTTTTTATAATTTAACGGGGTATGACACTTATTTACTGATTAAAGATGTAGTTCAACTATGTCCGGGTCGTATAACGCTGTTAGCGAAGAATAAAGAACAATACATTTCGTTCATCAAACACTTTCTCCAAATTCTTCACCAAATTCTTCGGTTAAATTTAGGTTTATATTCATTTAGATTTTTAGCGTCATCATTAGATAAATTAGCATCTATATTACAGAGAGGATTTAAAAATATTAAAAACTGAATTTTCCCATTTGAACGCTGATTCCTTTAACATGCTTATTCGAAAGGGAATATATCCATACATAAATTCAATGGATGTTTTAAAAGAAACGTCGCTTCCTCGTTCAGTCGATTTTTATAACAAGTTAAATGATGAAGATATTTCAGAAGATGATTATATTCATGCACAAAACGTTTGGAGAGTTTTTAAAATTGGTAATCTTCACGAATATACTCAATTGTATTTAAAGACGGACGTTTTGCTATTGGCTGATATTTTCGAAAATTTTAGGGAACGGTGTCTCAATACGTACGGTTTAGACCCAGCACATTATTATACGCTTCCGGGGTATACTTGGTACTGTATGTTAAAACACACGAATATTAGATTAGAATTTTTGCAAGATGTTGATATGTTGCTGTTTTTAGAAAAGGCGATTCGTGGGGGCGTAAGTCAATGTTGCAACAGATATGCTGAAGCGAGTAATAAAAATATGTCTAATTACGATCCACACAAACATTCCAATTATTTAATTTATTTCGATGTAAATGGGCTTTATGCTTGGGCGATGTCACAGTATTTACCATCTGGGGAATTTGAATGGGTCGAAGACGTCGACAATTTTGAGGTACATGCAGTAGCTGATGACTCAAGTATTGGTTATACATTGGAAGTCGATTTAAGTTATCCAAATAACCTTCATGATTTGCATAGAGACTTACCTCTATGTCCTGAGCATAGAATTCCACCAAATTCAAAATTACCGAAATTAATGACCACTTTACACGATAAAGAACATTACACAATGCACTACAGAAACTTGAAAAAGGGTCTCGATTGTGGGTTACGAATAAAACAAATTTAAAACGCATTTTTCGTAAAAGTAACAAGTATGTCAAAGTAGCCCTAACCGCCGGGGTAACTTTACCATATCCATTTTTATTTTTTATTTTTTTAACTATTGTTTTTAGAGTACACACTCACAATTTGTACAGAGCAGCAAAATGTCTGATAGTGATCAGTTGCTTTCTCCTTCAAGTAGCACTCAAACATCTTCAAGACTTTCCGAGGACTCACCAAGGAAAATTAAATACAAAACCAAAATTAGAACTCTTGGGCAAGAAAATTCTGAATTAAAAAAGAAAGTTCAGCAATTAGAATCAAACCTGAACAACTTGAACTGGATTATTTTAGATCAGTATAAATTACTTAGGTACAAAAATATGTTGTCATTCATCACAACTGATTTCATAAATATTCTAAGTTGCCCAAATAAACAAAAATCCAAGAAGTCGTAGATATACCAATGAATTTAAAATATATTGTTTAGAAATGTATTTTACTGGACCCAAGTTGTATAAAAAGATGTTAATGAAATCATTTTGTCTGAATTCTCCTAATACTTTACTACAANTTTTGCTGTAGGTTATTATTTCAGTTGTAATTATGATAAAAGTTTATCCTCTTATAAAAGTTATGTAGGGTTAGACTGTGTGGAGTGGTTTGTGAGGGAACTTGAAAATATTGGGACATTGTCAACGAAAAATTAAAATTTGTAGTTCCAATGGAAAACTGTTCTGTTGAAGCTCAAAATGAATTAAAAAACACAAACTATTGCCACATCTGTACAAAACCGTTTACTAAAGAAGATAAACCCTTTATGGACCATTCACACCTCAGCGGAGCGTTTAGGGGCTGGAGTCATTCCACCTGCAACTTGAATTATAAAAATACCTTCATTGTTCCCGTAGTTTTTCATAATTTAAAGGGGGGATGACACTCATTTACTGCTTAAAGATGTCGTTCAACTATGTCCGGGTCGTATAACGCTGTTAGCGAAGAATAAAGAACAATACATTTCGTTCATCAAACATCTTCCAAATTCTTCGGTTAAATTTAGGTTTATATTCATTTAGATTTTTAGCGTCATCATTAGATAAATTAGCATCTATATTACAGAAAGATGATTTAAAAATATTAAAAACTGAATTTTCCCATTTGAACGCTGATTCCTTTCAAATTCAATGGATATTTTAAAAGAAACGTCACTTCCTCGTTCAGTCGATTTTTATAACAAGTTAAATGATGAAGATATTTCAGAGGATGATTATATTCATGCACAAAACGTTTGGAGAGTTTTTAAAATTGGTAATCTTCACGAATATACTCAATTGTATTTAAAGACGGACGTTTTGCTATTGGCTGATATTTTCGAAAATTTTAGGGAACGGTGTCTCAATACGTACGGTTTAGACCCAGCACATTACTATACGCTTCCGGGGTATACTTGGTACTGTATGTTAAAACACACGAATATTAGATTAGAATTTTTGCAAGATGTTGATATGTTGCTGTTTTTAGAAAAGGCGATTCGTGGGGGCGTGAGTCAATGTTGCAACAGATATGCTGAAGCGAGTAATAAAAATATGTCTAATTACGATCCACACAAACATTCCATTATTTAATTTATTTCGATGTAAATGGGCTTTATGCTTGGGCGATGTCACAGTATTTACCATCTGGGGAATTTGAATGGGTCGAAGACGTCGACAATTTTGAGGTACATGCAGTAGCTGATGACTCAAGTATTGGTTATACATTGGAAGTCGATTTAAGTTATCCAAATAACCTTCATGATTTGCATAGAGACTTACCTCTATGTCCTGAGCATAGAATTCCACCAAATTCAAAATTACCGAAATTAATGACCACTTTACACGATAAAGAACATTACACAATGCACTACAGAAACTTGAAAAAGGGTCTCGATTGTGGGTTACGAATAAAACAAATTTAAAACGCATTTTTCGTAAAAGTAACAAGTATGTCAAAGTAGCCCTAACCGCCGGGATAACTTTACCATATCCATTTTTATTTTTTATTTTTTTAACTATTGTTTTTAGAGTACACACTCACAATTTGTACAGAGCAGCAAAATGTATCTGATAGTGATCAGTTGCTTTCTCCTTCAAGTAGCACTCAAACACCTTTAAGACTTTCCGAGGACTCACCAAGGAAAATTAAATACAAAACCAAAATTAGAACTCTTGGGCAAGAAAATTCTGAATTAAAAAAGAAAGTTCAGCAATTAGAATCAAACCTGAACAACTTGGACTGGATTATTTTAGATCAGTATAAATTACTTAGGTACAAAAATATATTGTCATTCATCACAACTGATTTCATAAATATTCTAAGTTGCCCAAATAAACAAAAATCCAAGAAGTCGTAGATATACCAATGAATTTAAAATATATTGTTTAGAAATGTATTTTACTGGACCCAAGTTGTATAAAAAGATGTTAATGAAATAATTTTGTCTGAATTCTCCTAATACTTTACTACAATTTGTGAAGGATATTCATCAAAATCCTGGATTAAACCAAGATCGCTGTTGGCATATTTTAAAACTGAAAATTAACAATTTTAAAGCAGAAAATAAGTATTGCACTTTATGCGTCGATGAAATAACATTCACTATTGATACAGACTACAGAGTGAATGTCACCATTTATTTAGCTATAACACTACTCGTGTACAACAATTAACAGCTTCTTGAAATCTTGATATAAATTCAACTTTGTTATTAAACGTAGTTAGTTTGTTTCTACCTGTATACTGTTGTATTGTAGATACATCATGTAAATCTTTGTTACACCCTACAACTAGTTATAGAACATTGATTTAATAAACTATATTCTGTAATGTTTACTACTATCTGTTTACGAATTTGGAGAAATTTTGTTGAAGCGAAATATAATTCTGTTCGAATCATACGGATATCTGTTGTATAAATTAACTGTACTACCTTTTATTATTATTATTTCTTTTTATTATTGTTTATATGTGAACGAATCTGATGCACTTTTGATTAGGTATTTGGCTGTCAAGTATTGAGTTATTTGTTTATTACTGTCATAAGGCGAGCAAGGAATTCCATCGTACCTAAGACGCTAAAATAGATCAAATGACAGTTTGGACCTAGGTTAAGGTCAATGATCAAACCTGATCAGTGGTGAAAAAATTGCAGTTGCCCAGTCCGAAATTTATTGTGTTTGAACGACCAATCATAGCGGTTGAGTTTTTATGAGATTTATTTTAATAAAACCCATGTCGGAGCGACTCCCTCTCTGATTTTGCAACAGGTAGTCACAAGCTCATATGTGATTATAAATCTAAATTGAAATCTTACCTCAATTTAATAACCAGTGAGTAGTGAAATCCATCCTACAAGGTAATTTATCAAATATTTATATTTCTATCTTTTTAAATTCAATCTAATAGATTAATATTAAATAAAGATTTTATGATTTAAAGTAAAGATTTATTTGAAGATTTTATGATTAAAATAAAGATTTAATTTAAATTAAAACCAGTAAACGTTGAGTAAAGCTTTACAATTGAGTAAAGACTTACAATTAGCGAAGAATTAGTAGCTAAAGTTTAAATAAAGTCACTTTTGGGTCCCCAAGTGGACAATCTTTATGGTAGTCTAGCAAAGATTTAGGTCAACTATTGGTCATCAGAGTCGTGTACCCCGAGTTCGATACACCCGGACCATCTGTAACATCCCTGAGCTCCGCTGAACACCCAAGTACACCAAAGGACGAAAATTGTGAGAAATATACATTATAGGGTGTTAGTTTCATTATTAGTAGGTTGGCGCCCAGTTAACATCCTTTTAACCATCCAGTAACGTTTTATAGTTCGCCCTTTATAGTTTGAACTATTTAAACAAACACTATAGTCAATTGCACTTGTTTTATAATAGAAGTTCTAATATTGTGATTGGTTTTGAGGATAGAGATGGTAAAAGAGAGGCATTTTTTTAGGTGGAAACAACATTTAGCATATTTCTTCTCCAATTCTGGCTGCTCGAGGACAAATCTCAAGGATATAATTGAAGACACAATTATAAAATTGAAATCAATTGGTTTAATTGTTGTTGCCGTCATTTCAGACATGGGTTCAAATAACTTAGTAATGACTCAAAAATTGGGCATTACTATTGTCAATCCATTTTTTTTATATCGGAGAACAAAAAATAACATATTTACAATATCAATAAAAACGAGTAACAAATTTTGTAGTTTTATTTTCCATGCCAAACTTAGAAAAATCACTTGTCAAAGAATCTGAAGTAAAAAATCATTTACAGTAACTTATTGATTATTTACTTTTCAGGTGTAAGAAAATACCCATTTAAATCGATTTATTTGAAGTATATTTTCTACTTAGTTTTTTTGCAATAAAGGACCCCGCACTAATCTTATAGATTTTGGCCCCCGGTGAATTTCTCTGTAACTTTGGGAAATGATAGGTTTCGACCTACTGATCAAATATCTCCATGGGCACAAAGCCGAAAAATCACTCCTATGTGGAGTGCGAAAGGGGTAAAAACGTGAATAATAAGACATACTATAAAAACGAATGCGGACCCCGCAAGTTGCGCCTGAAAGTTGACAACATTGTGGATTTCATATTATTATATAGTCCAACGGGAGTTTCGGAGTTGTTCAATCCATCGTAAGGTCAATGGCCTGAGAAGAAGTCTGTTAGGTGAGAAATCCGACATTGTTTTTGTATTGAACAAAACAGAATGCGATAAATAATGACAGTGGACTCTAGTCAATCTTTCTCTAGACAGGAAGGGGTATGGAAATGGGAGACAGGGGAGTGACAACATAATATGCGGGGATCCAGCGGCGGGGGTATTTTCTTCAATTTGTCTTGACTTGTGCTGTTGTTTTCAATCAATTCACGAACGGAAAACCCAATATTTTTTTTCAGTCTCGTGGCTTATCTTACGGGATCACCTCATTCTAAAGACAGTGTCTTTGTGAATTTTTTTCGGCCTGTGGCCTCAATATGGCAGGACGTGGTCCAAATATTCGCATGATGTGCTTTGTCTGTGAGCAGGGGGGTCATTTGCAGCAAATGGCTCGAATAGGGTGCGACGTTGATAAGGACCAGGTAGCAATACTTCGACGAGCTGCAAATGGTTTCGAGGACGCAGTTGTTGCAGATGATACCAGGCTTTGTTTTAATTGCAATCAGTCTATTAGGAATGAGTTAGAAATCGTTCGAAACAATCCAACGTCTCTAAGACTTAATGTTGTGAAACAAAGGCAAAATCGGGCCTGTTTATTCTGCTTCGCGGTTCAAAATACGGTCAGAATGTCCTCCGAGTGCAGGTCAAATGTTTTTCTGGAAGTTGATATCTACATTCCTGAAGGTGTTAGGTGTTGTGGTCAACATCTTGACAGAAATGGACTGATTTTTCGGCCACTAATTCTCGCTTTGACATCTCAGAATCGTCCTTACGTTATACCAGGGGCTGATCTCCAGCAATTATTGGGAAATCTACGGAGGGAGGCCCAAGCCAACGATAAATTGTTCAATCCCAACAAACTGAGCGAAGAAGAGTTTATGTGCCTTTTTTCATTGAATAAGGTTGATTTTGCTTACCTATTAACATTCTGTGACCCAGTGCCTCACGAAAGGGGTGTTCGACATATAAGTTCTAAGGATCTCATGACATTCCTTTGCAAGATGAGACAAGGATTATCGGATAAACTTTTAGCAACTCTCTTCAATTATTCGAGCAGACAAGCTGTTACTTTGGCTGTAGGAAAGGTAAGAACGTCACTAGCAATGCGATTTGTACCGGAGAATATCGGCACCGCAGCAATTACAAGGGAACAGTTCATCGCCCGCCATGTAACCCCATTTGCCAACGAGTTGTACAACAATGAGCCCGCTGTGCCAAAGGTAATTGTAGTTTGCGATTCTACCTATGCCTACATACATAAGAGTAGCAACTTCCGCATTCTTCGACAGTCCTATTCCCTGCATAAAGGGAGGCATCTTCTCAAACCAACACTTCTTGTCGCGCCAGATAGATATATTCTTGCGATTCTTGGGCCATATTTCTCAGACACATGGAATAACGATGCAGAAATCCTTAGGGATGCATTTGAGAGAGATGCCGAAATCTTGCAGGAATAGTTCCAAAATGGCGATGTTGGTCGATAGAGGTTATAGGGATGCTGCGCCTTTGTTGGCCCGTTTAGGGATTGAACACAAAATGCCGGCTTTTTTGGATAGATAATCGGGGGCGGGGGTAGCTCATAATTTTGCATAAGGATGAGAGGTCGCAATCTTACTTTTCGNAAGACTTACAATTAGCGAATAATTAGTAGCTAAAGTTTAAATAAAGTCACTTTTGAGTCCTCAAGTGGACAATCTTTATGGTAGTCTAGCAAAGATTTAGGTCAACTATTGGTCATCAGAGTCGTGTACCCCGAGTTCGATACACCCGGACCATCTGTAACATCCCTGAGCTCCGCTGAACACCCAAGTACACCAAAGGACGAAAATTGTGAGAAATATACATTATAGGGTGTTAGTTTCATTATTAGTAGGTTGGCGCCCAGTTAACATCCTTTTAACCATCCAGTAACGTTTTATAGTTCGCCCTTTATAGTTTGAACTATTTAAACAAACACTATAGTCAATAGCACTTGTTTTATAATAGAAGTTCTAATATTGTGGTTGGTTTTGAGGATAGAGGAGATGGTAAAAGGGCTTTTAAACCAGCAATATGTGCTACAGTTACGATTAGAGGCATTTTTTTAGATGGAAACTACATTTAGCATATTTCTTCTCCAATTCTGGCTGCTCGAGGACAAATCTCAAGGATATAATTGAAGACACAATTATAAAATTGAAATCAATTGGTTTAATTGTTGTTGCCGTCATTTCAGACATGGGTTCAAATAACTTAGTAATGACTCGAAAATTGGGCATTACTATTGTCAATCCATTTTTTTTATATCGGAGAACAAAAAATAACATATTTACAATATCAATAAAAACGAGTAACAAATTTTGTAGTTTTATTTTCCATGCCAAACTTAGAAAAATCACTTGTCAAAGAATCTGAAGTAAAAAATCATTTACAGTAACTTATTGATTATTTACTTTTCAGGTGTAAGAAAATACCCATTTAAATCGATTTATTTGAAGTATATTTTCTACTTAGTTTTTTTGCAATAAAGGACCCCGCACTAATCTTATAGATTTTGGCCCCCGGTGAATTTCTCTGTAACTTTGGGAAATGATAGGTTTCGACCTACTGATCAAATATCTCCATGGGCACAAAGCCGAAAAATCACTCCTATGTGGAGTGCGAAAGGGGTAAAAACGTGAATAATAAGACATACTATAAAAACGAATGCGGACCCCGCAAGTTGCGCCTGAAAGTTGACAACATTGTGGATTTCATATTATTATATAGTCCAACGGGAGTTTCGGAGTTGTTCAATCCATCGTAAGGTCAATGGCCTGAGAAGAAGTCTGTTAGGTGAGAAATCCGACATTGTTTTTGTATTGAACAAAACAGAATGCGATAAATAATGACAGTGGACTCTAGTCAATCTTTCTCTAGACAGGAAGGGGTATGGAAGTGGGAGACAGGGGAGTGACAACATAATATGCGGGGATCCAGCGGCGGGGGTATTTTCTTCGATTTGTCTTGACTTGTACTGTTGTTTTCAATCAATTCGCGAAAGTTAAACCCAATATTTTTTTTCAGTCTCGTGGTTTATCTTACGGGATCACCTCGTTCTAAAGACAGTGTCTTTGTGAATTTTTTTCGGCCTGTGGTCTCAATATGGCAGGACGTGGTCCAAATATTCGCATGATGTGCTTTGTCTGTGAGCAGGGGGGTCATTTGCAGCAAATGGCTCGAATAGGGTGCGACGTTGATAAGCACCAGGTAGCAATACTTCGACGAGCTGCAAATGGTTTCGAGGACGCAGTTGTTGCAGATGATACCAGGCTTTGTTTTAATTGCAATCAGTCTATTAGGAATGAGTTAGAAATCGTTCGAAACAATCCAACGTCTCTAAGACTTAATGTTGTGAAGCAAAAGCAAAATCGGGCCTGTTTATTCTGCTTCGCGGTTCAAAATACGGTCAGAATGTCCTCCGAGTGCAGGTCAAATGTTTTTCTGGAAGTTGATATCTACATTCCTGAAGGTGTTAGGTGTTGTGGTCA